GAGTTATGGTCTGTGGCTGGGTGGTAGTTAAAGTGATAAAATAAAATAAAATATAAAATAAATAAATAAATAACGAATGAAGTAAATACAAGATAAAATAAAATGAAAATGAAATAAAATTGTACATTTGTGTTAAGGCCAATTCACACCGCACAGACAAATGACAACAAACACCAACAGAAAATTCTGTCGGAGTTTGTTGGATCAGTGTGTTACCCCTGTCTGTGTCTGTTGCCATTGAGTTTGTTTTCACCTGAATGAACATGTTCAATCAGTTTTTGTTGGGTCGTGGAATGTCTGAGCAGTGTGAAATTATTTTCCACAAACGACAACAAACTCTGACGTAATCTGACCTGGCCATGAACCGTTGCCATGACGATGAGGCGAGTAAGTGCTAGGTGTGCTTAGCAAATGATCCTAAAAATGGCAGGTTTGTCGGTGTCTTTTGGGGCAGTGTGAACATGACAGTTATTTTTCATAAAATTCTAAATCCAACAGCCAACTTGTTGGGGTTTGTCTGTGCAGTGTGAATTGGCCTTTAAGAACATTCTAGTGATGGAAAAACAAGGTTCTGAGAGCTGTATTAAATTTGTATGCATATTTTAATATTAATGATTATTGAGTTATGGTCTGTGATTGGGTGGATTTAGTGAAACTAAAATAAATTAAAATTAATAGTGCAAAGTAAAATAATAAAGAGTGAAATAAAAGATAAAAATTAAATAAACAAAAAACATTTGTTACGATCATTCTAGTGATTAATTTCAAATAAGAAAAAAAACCGCCTAATTTAATAACTAGTAGCAAGTAAAATTGTGGAGCATTCCAGGAATTGCAAGAATTTCTCAAAAATGCAATGTAAAATCTTACACTATAACGTTGCATTGATAGGTTTCTTAAACAGAAAGTACTTCTGCAAATTCATAATGAAGTTACTATCTTGTCACGAAGCACATCTTTGTATAAAATGGATCTATTACCGCTAAGAATAGTAATTCACCTCCATTATTGTCTGATCATCAAGAAAATAGCCCTGCATTATACACAGAGCAGCTCGGCTTCAAGTTGCTCTGAGATTAAACTATGAATGCCAAACAGATCAGACCCAAGTCCACATTCATCTTCAAAGCCTGTGTGTTGCCCATGAGTTATTTCAAAGGGACGGTGCTGGCTTTCATTGCACGTGTTTTAAAGAATCAGAGGCCGGGCTGTAGGCAGTGACTGAACACCACAGCATCTGAGAATCAATTACCTTGTCTGGTTTTACACGCACCCTCTCTGGGCTTGACCCGGGTGGCGTTTTAACGGGCAGAGGCGCTCTGCGGGAGATGTTCTTACAAATGAAGCTACAGCGGCCTTTAAGCAGCTTGTAAATTGATCAAGGCAAGGCCATAAATATGGAGTTTCCTGTTGGCTAGTAAAATAAACGAGGGCCACTGTTTGGAATAATCTCTGTCTCAAGAAAACCCTTTCTCCATTTCCATTTGTAAGTCACGCTCTCCCAGATACATATTAGCACTTCAAAGACTCCGAGTCCATTTCATAATTTGCTGGGTAGTGTCAGTTACATAAGGATTTCCTTTTGTTACAGCACAGTTTTTGGACTGTATTAATGGAGATTAGCGGTCAGGCCTGTTTTACAAAGCTGCATCCCCAGAGTCACATTAAACTACTGTCAGATTTGTTCTCTGCAACATTATTTTCATTTATGAATTTGGTAGATACTTTTATTAAGCTTATGCAACATATTGCATTCATGGTAAACCTTTTTTAGTGCATGCATTCCCTGGTAATAGAACAAATGACTTTGTTTCCATCTAGGACAATAATAGTCATATTAATTATAATTACCCTTGTGAAAAAGAAGTGTGTGTAACTGTTTTGAATGTGCATTTGTAGTGTAAAAAAATGTAATTGCAGATGATATAATATGTGATGTAATAAAAGGCCACTTAAGTGCACTTTAAGAGTATTCTTTCATGATGGTTTCTTTTAGAAAGTGCACTTTGTAATCATTTCAAATTAAAAGTTTTACTTTAAAAGTACATTTCAATCATTATGATTAACCTTTTGTCATGCTTTACAGAAATACATTTACTTTGATGTGCTGAGAAACATACTAAGGCTTGTATACTGAAAGTACTTGATTGTCATATTAACTAGCATTATTCGATATCGCATTAAAAGTTAATATATTTTAAATGTACTAAATTACAACATCATTCCACGTGTAAATACAAATAGATGACATTAAGGCATACTTTATTTTAGTTTAACTGCATTTAACATAAATTTAAACTGTAACACATTTTCATTTAATTGCATCAAATATGTCCACAGTTAAGTGTCTGAAAACATTACATTCAGTTCACACTTATAGTTAAGCCAAAAATGAAAACTTGAAATGAAAAAGCTGCTTGTCTTGTAAAAAACAAATCTATCATAAAGACATTTTAACTTCAAACTCTCACTTCTGGCTAAAATATTAATCCATAATAATGCTTCCTTCAGTGAAGAAATCCATCTCCTGTTGTCCTCTCACATCAAAATCCACCGTTATATTTGTTTAGAGGTTTGTTTTCATTTGTAAACGGTGCTTGACCTGCATATTTCTTTCTTGATTCAGATGAGATGACTTTTTCACTGGAAAAAGCAATTTTATAGATAGAGGACTCGTACTTTAATGTCTTAATGATGGATTTGTTTCTTACAAACACAGCTTTTCGCTTCACGACACATTCATTGATGGACTGAAGTCTTGTAGATTGCTTGTGAATTATTGTGATGTTTTTATCAGCTGTTTGGACTCTCATTCTGACGGCACCCATTCACTGCAGAGCATCCACTGGTGAGCAAGTGATGTAAAGCTAAATTTCTCCAAATCTGCAAATTTTCATTTTTGGGTGAATTATTCATTTAAGAATGTTATTTCAGTAATAACTACTCTTTTGAAAAGTATTTTTCACAAGGGTATAGCTGATAGTTAGCAGTTGCCTCTTTAAAATTTTATCATACTCTTCAAAGCACAAAACAGATTTATAAATTTCCCTGAGTGCACGTTCAACCTCTTTTCAGTTAGCTGTGGAGATTATTCGAGTGTCTTTGTTCCTCAAACGACAAACATTTTACTAGGCCAGAGAAACAGAGCAAAAAAAACTTTACAACCAAGCTGAAACGTAACTATTTGTGTCAGCGAGACTGATTGTATGGGTTGTCTGGGTATGCAGTGTTCTGCTCGAGCGGATCTGCATGGGTTCAGACAAGTAAGTTTTTGCATTATTAAAAGCTGTTCAGAGCCTGATAACACCTGTCTTTGACCTGTAATAATGTAACACCTGAAACAAATTTCATGTATGTCAACAAAGTTATGCGTGCGTGACATTTCTAGCTTTAGTTCATGTAGTGCACCGATGCACATAAGATTTAAGTGAAGTTTTATGGAGTTGCATGTGTGTTTCGTACCATATAAACATGTAACTAACTAAGCTTGACTGATTGCACAGAGACTACTGGAAGAGAGCTGAACTGGATGATGACATCACTAATCTTCAATGAACTGACTTTAGCTGGAAAAATTACTCTGTTATTGTCTTCTTCTATCATTGACCAACTATTTTCCTGTTTGATGCTGTCAAGCTGCTTTGACACAATTAGTATTGTATAAAGCGCTATATAAATAAAGGTGACTTGACTTGACTAAACCATGTCAGCGGTCAGGTTTATTGGTACCTGGTTGGGATCTGGAAGTTGGCCTCTCGGTCGAGTCTGTACGCCACCTGGAGGGATGTGGATCCTTCTACCTTTCTGACGCCCCTCATGGGGATGACATCCAACTGAAACTGTGTGATCAGATCGAACCCTGCCACACACAAATACACACTTTAAATACTCCTAAAATCCTAAAATTCTGATAAAATAAGAATTCTTTGTGCACACTGCATATAAATCCAAATGTTTTTTCCAGATAAGATCTTTCGGACTGTATACGGTGTCATTTTGTATGATAGACAGTTCAGACTGTCCAAATCTGAACCAAAATATTGCTGTTTAGACAAACAAAAAAATCTATTCAAATTTAATTAAAAATGTCAAAATATCAGATTTTTTTTTTTTCATAAAGCCTACCACCTAATAACAAAAACAAAACAAAACAACCAAACAAATATACAACAAATGTCAAAATATCAAAATATATTAAAGCCTAAAACCTAATAATTTCTGGAATACAAAAAAAATAAAATAAATAAAGTGTCAAAACATCAAATAAACAACAAAACAAATAGTCAAAATGGAATTAAAAAATATATATATAATCTAAAAATATCTAAAATCTAATAATTTAAAAAATAAATAAATAAATAAAAAATAAAAACAATTAAAAATGATAATTGTCTACCCAATACAATGCAATTTACAATAAATCTCATTTGATCCTGATTATATCCAAATTGTAATACAAATTCCGTTAGCATTTGTGAGAAATTCATGCAATCACAATCATTTAAAGCAAACTTAATATGCATTTATGCACATATCCAGTCCAAAAACATGCAGTAGGTCTCTTTACATCTGTTTACTTCAGTAATTGCATTTGAACTTGCTTACTCCCCGTTTCCAGTCTGTGCACAGAGCAGCACATGTTTGTGATTTGAGGTTGCACCCTCCGCATTATTTGTTAAAAGCCAAGGAGTCGCAACCAATTAAGATCTTGCTGAGTTAGAAGTGTTTCCACTGCAGAAATTGGCTGGCCAGAGACCAACGTTTTATTGGCCTCGTTTGAGATCTAAAGATGTCTTAAAACGAGGTGACTATCAGCTTCAGCATCTTTACCTAATAAAACAGTGTTGTGCCGCTGCATGTCCTGCATACAGAAAACTACTATTTATAGGTAAACAATGCCTGAATGAAGAGTGTTTTTAATGATAATAATGCATAAAGGATGGTGGTAAAATTTATACTAACAGTCATGAGAAGTGCTCTAGTGTGCAGATTATTATTATTTTTTTAAATAAAGGAGCTGGACCTCTTTTAGATAACCAAGAGGTTTCAATATATGGGTATGTGTACTGCATACATACTGTATATATGCAATTATATATATCATGCAATTTGTATAAAACATTCAATCCTCAAAAGTCTGCATTTCATGTTGATAACAGTTCACATTATGTTTTTCAGAGTGGCTCAATTTTACCTGGAAGGTCATCTTGTCCATTCTTCATGGGTGGGCACACCGTGTCGCCATCTAATCTGTTCAAATCCAGCTCTGAAAAATTCATAAGTGACATGAGTGTCATTTCAGGCCTGTCTGCAGCGACAGATCACCAGAGAATACGCTCAGATTGTTAAAGACGTGACATTCACCCCACTCATAACAGAAGGCAAATTGTCCCACAAACACATATCTTTTACAACATAATAATATTAATAATCTGTCATTAATTTTAGTAGTCAAATGAAATGGTAAAATATCTGATATAATTGTATATTTAATATTTAATTATAAAATGATTCTTAAATATTATATTTGAATTATAAGTAAATTATATATATCTAAAATATTTTTTAAATATTAAAATATAAAATTATATTAAAGCTTAAAATAATGCCAAGCATACTTAGAATAGAGAAAGCATACAGCAAATTAGATATGTTTAATTACTACAAGGAAAACTATTGAAAACAACAAAAAATAAATAAACAAATGGGAACAAATAGATTTTAAAAATATGAAATAAAAAAATATGAATTATTTAAATTTAAATAAACTACATAAGCACTTTTCAAATGTATTTGCATATTACTATTTTCTTTATGTTTATGCAAATCCATTCAGCACACTCAATCTATATGATTTTCTAAACAAAAGAGGGAGTCATAATCAGCGCCAGCATCATTTTAAAGCCATACAGTATGTGCACGGTTGAGCATAAGATGTGATAAATGTGTCATAATTACAGTGAGGAAGTATATTCTGGAATTATGGACGTACTGTCAGTGTACATGTGTGGGCCTGCAGGACAGCTTTCAGAAGGTCAGACTGACAGATACAGTCATCTGTGCTCATTTGTATTAATCTAATGTAAGTGCACGATGGGAAAACAAACGTGACACTCCATCCATCACAAGGACAGTTTCCTCCCATGAACATTAGATCCTATGATGGAGAACATCAGCTCTCATTCCTTTCAATAGTTTATCATTTGACACTCTGATGCACCCAAAAATAACCTGAGAAGGGACTTTAGCTGTTGTTTTTGCACTGTTTTCATGTATATGAATTGTCTATTAAAGAAAAACTGAAAAATGAAATACATATTTTAGTACAGTTGATATATTTTAATTTCAATGATCTGTAATATAATTAAAATTATAATTTTTGTTTAATATTTTGAATTAGATTTTTAAAAATTAAATTAAATTAAATTAAATTAAATTAAATTAAATTAAATTAAATTAAATTAAATTAAATTAAATTAAATTAAATTAAATTAAATTAAATTAAATTAAATTAAATTAAATTAAATTAAATTAAATTAAATTAAATTAAA